CTGCCTGTTCTGCTCCCCACTCTGTTTCTGGTGAATCCTCTCAACATTCCCCCGCCCAGCTCCCACAGCTCTGACCTATATCCCAGTTCTATATGCATAAGTAAATATTTTTTTTAAAAGAATTTATCAGAAAAGTGTGCATTCTAAAGCTTCTTCTCTTGATTGTCATGAGATGTGGATAAATTTCTTGAAATCTTCTTTGTATATATAAATTTCATTTTGAACACACAAACCTACCTCTACAGTACTAACAACAGCAGAGATTTGCTATTTGTTCAACTTCGAGACAAGCTTACAAAGCACACCAGGATGCAGGCAGCAGAAACAGGGTGAAGGGTTTCCCGTCCAGCAAACCACTTCACACTGAGTTGTCCTGACTCCTTAGCTCCTCCTAGCTGTGACAATTTCTCAGCTGCCCTCGGTTTTGATGGTCCTGATAGTTTATGGATATTGGTGGAGGCATTTTGTAAAATGTGATTTTTTTTTTAACCAATTCCTCTTTCTAATAGGCAAGATCATTAGGCCCAGGCAATCACTCTGCTGTAGGTAAGAGACTGAGTATTATGCTTTGTAGAACTGTAGCAGTAAATAAGGAACATTTCTTGGAGATGGGATTTTAATACATTTAGGGGGGTCATTTAATCCATGCTTCTCAATGGGAGCAATAAATTAATTATTAGGTGGCAAAATAATGTTGAAGACCATGCTCTTAGGCTCTTCAAATTTACCATACTCTACAAAATACTATACCTTATATTTTATTTCAGGGAGCAGGGAGTATGTTAGGAAAAACCTATCTAAAAAGGAAGAAAATTGGGATTGACTCACTTGGTAGAAAGAAGAGGCAGTAACTAGCCAGGCATTATCTTCACCTATCTCTAGAAACTTTTGCAAGCATTTGCACAGCAGTAGCTTGTACATGAATCCTTCCAGAAAAAATACAAAGTACTTGGGAGATTAGATTATGCTTCATTACCTTTGTGTATTGGTACCACATAAAGAAACGTGTTTTTCAGCCCTCCCTGGTAGCATAACTGGTTAGGACATGGCACTGCAAGTAACCTGCAGCAACTTCGATCCCAGGCCCACATGGCACAGGAGACCTCTCCTGACCAGCCTGCTTTTCCCTTCACAGTGTACTTAGTCAGCCTGTTCTGCTCTCCATTCAGTTGCCTGTGAAGACTCTCACCATCCCAGCACCTCTGGCTTGTACCCCAGTTCTGTATGCATAAATAAATAAATATAAAAAAAAAAGAAAGAAATGTGTTTTTCAAAATGACCATATACTAACAGCTTCTTGTGTGTATGAAGATTGGTGGTTTCCAGTGTTTGGATGAGAAAAGGGTTTTTGGATGGGAGTAAGTTGTGTTTAAGGGATAACACAGGGG